AGCCATGCCCTGTGGGAAGAGAGGTGATGAGCACTCTCAGGCCAAGGAACTTATTATTCCCTTTTACCCCTTGTATGAACGAGACTGTGCCCTGTGCCTGAGCTTCTTGATGGGAGGTGATGGATCCTGCCCGAGCAGAGTCCTACGACCACTAGGACTGCATTTTGCTCATTTTCCAGGGCTGACCTTCTCCCAGAGGCCGGACTGGGGCTCCTCTCCGGCAGGAGCAGAGCCCGTTCCCGGCTCCCGGCGGTCACCAGAGGGAGCCCAATGCCCGGGCACGGCGCATCCTGCGGGGCCGGGCAGGCTGGAAGCGCTGCGGGTGCCCTTCTGCAGCCTCCCCTGGCTCCTTCCCCATGGCTCATCACCGCAATCAGACAAAATCGGAGCCCCCGCTGGCCTGGTGTAACTGTTCATGAGGATTGGAAGAGGAGGAGGTGTTTGCATCGGCTCCCAGGCAGGGATGGCTTTATCACAGGTGACTTCCCAAAATCACCCTGCCCAAGGAAGGCACAACACTCCTTGGGAAGGCCTGAAGAGTCAGAGCCAGCCCCTGCCATGACAACAACATTTCTGTTCACTCACAATTAATTAACCAATTTTAGCTTCAAAGGGTCCCTGTGCCCCAGCAGTTTTGACCTTGTATTCAACTCCTGATGGAAGCTCTGCCAAAGCCCTGCTGCCTCCAGAATCCTGAGGAACTGAGCTTCTTCCTGAAGTCCTTGTCCCTCATTGCCCCATGGGTGACAAAGCCAAAGAGCTGCCTTGAAGCACCACCTCATCTGGAGGTTTGAGACAAGCAGCTCTTTCTGTGACACCTGCATTTCTATAGGGGTTAAACCTTATTCCTCCCCCATTCTTCCTTTTTGTATTGGGGTGATCCTTGTCTTCCACATTTTCAAAGCCTTCTCCGGCATTTTTAGAGCTGCCTTATAGGACACCTATGCCACACACAATTACTGCAGCTGCTCCTGTAAGAAGCTCTTAAACTACACTGTTTATTTCAGGGAAAAAACCAAACAAGCAAACAAAAAAAACCACCCACAAAAGCAAGCAACAAATCCACAAAACCCCTACCAGCTCCCAAAAAACACCAACACTCAGACCACTAAGCAAACTCCTCACCTTCTCCTTGCTCTGTAGTCCATGCAAACAGACAAATCCCTCCCATGGGCTCCTATTTAGCCCTTCAGCTGTGCTAGGAATGGAGGGAATTGTTGGCTGATTCCCAACATCTGGCAGCCCTTTCACCCCAGGGCAGGCTCAGCTGTTCTCTAATCTATAAGGGACACAATGCACTCTGACATCCTCCTGCTGCTCCCTGCAAATGTCACCATCTACATCTTTTCAGTGCCCTGAAACACTCCCACAGCTCTCCCACCTGCTCCCTGAGCAATCCTCTCTGTCCCCATGGCTCAGGATCCCATCCACTATTCAGTTTTGGGCCCTGCCCCAAAATAAGAAAGGCATTTGAAAACTCAGGTGAAAAACCACCAAGAGAGTTGAGGGCTGGAGCATTTGCTCAGTGAGAGGAGGCAGAGGGAGGTGGGGTCACTCAGCCTGGTCAGAAGAAGATTTCAAGGGGATATAACAGCGATGACCAGTAAAAAAACAGGTCCCTGAGCAGGTGGATTCAGACTCTTGATGGTGGTACATGGTTTAGAGACGAGACAGTTGAAAGAAAAGGTGCTGAAATTGGATACACAAGGAAAAAATTCTTTACCATAGTGACAGCCAAATGCTGTCACAGGGAGCCCAAGGAGATTGCATATCCACCTTTGAGGGCTCTCAGTGCTTCATTGGGCAAAGCCCTGAGCAACCTGATAAGATCTCAGCACTAACCCTGCCCTGAGCAGGCGGCTGGACCAAAGTCCTTCCCAAGCTGATCCAGCCTGCTCCTCTTTGGGAAAAGAGGGTGAACCGGAATGATAACCAAGGGCTGAGCTTCCTCCCCAGCCGGGCTGTGGGAACCCTGCAGTCAGCACCACCACCCTGGGATCATCCCATGGCAGCTTGAAAAGCCTTGTCAAACGCTGTGAATGTCAAGGGAAAAAAGTAGGGCAAAGGATCCAACTGAGTTGCGACAGTGACACGTGCCTGTGCTGGGGGAGGAGGAGGAAGCAGTTGAGCTCACAAGTTAAATGGGCCGAGAGCCTGGACACAGGAAAGATCAGCTGCACCACCAGCAGAGTGAAGCTGTGAGAGGGAAACAACATCTTCCCTTTGCCATGGGCATGGCCTGGCCACGGGAGGATGCTCAGCTGTGAGCAGTGGTGCTGAGACCACACACAGATTTCATTCTGGTTGTATTTTAGCAGGTGAGGGACTGAGTGAGGTGTGGGGAGAACCTGGCCCTCATTCCACTGCAAGGGGTGGCTCCCTGCCCCTTCCTCCCCAGGGAGAGGAAGAGCTGTGAAGATGATCATCTTAGATGTTATCTAAGAGAGATCTCAAATGTATCATGACTCACTCACCTTCCAAAGCTGTCAAAAAAAAAAAAAAAAAAAACAAAAAAAAAAAAAAAAAAAAAAAAAAAAAAAAAAAAGAAAAACCAACAAAAACACAAAAAAAACACTCAACAAAACAACCCAAACCCAACACAATTTCAAAGGTGTAAGAAGAAAACCAAGGAAAAACAGTGGCTGAAGGTTTGATCTCAGTTCTGGTGCGTGTTTCTGGGGAGGCAGCCAGACACAGATGGGAGTTCAGACTGGGCATCCTGTGCCCACTGCTGCCCCGTGCCAGGGATCCATCAGGGAAGGTGAATCCAGCTTTCAAAACCCAAGAGCGAGCATACCTGGCATCAGCAAACCATCCCTTCCATCCCAGTTAACTGGAACCATGTGCATCCTTCAGCTGGAAGGATGGATGACAACTGAAATGGGTTTTCTGGAGCTCTGCCTCTCTTGGCCCCTCATGGGGACAACATTTTGGGAAATGTCCCCAAGCAAGGGAAGTAATTTCCTCAGAGAAGATTAGTCCCACTCCCCACTTCCCTGACACAGGTGGAAGAGATGGTAGTTGGGTCTGTGAGATATGGAGGTGTTTTATTTGGTATTTTATCTGAAAAAAAACCCAAAGTAAATGATGGTTATTAAACAATGAACTTCTGTAATTTCTGTTCTCTTGTGATCTGTCCTTGTTATCTCAGCTTCCAGATTTAAAAGGATTAGATATGGCAATATGCTGTGAGAATTTTGGAGTCACTGATTGCCATCTCAGGCTTAAAGATGCACCATTGCCCTTCTCTTGTTAAAATGTGATTTTTCCATCCTAAAAATGGGGTATTTTTGCTCCTGTCCTCTGAACATGGTGCTGTTCCAGTGCCACACAATGTAACAGGATCATCACAGGATAACTATGGTCAGAGAAGTCGTGGAGGTCATCCTGTTGCTCCAAGCTGGAGGATTGGTAGGGAAAGGCACTTTCCCAATGTGTTCTTCAGGACCACTTGTGCCTCTTGCTCCCCTCAATCCTGCCCATGCTCTGGATGTCCTCTTGAGTTTGGTAACAAAACATCTGATTTAAAAGCAAACAAGGGCCCAGGCTGCACAGCTGGGCCACAGAGAGGGTTGGTCTGCTTCAAAGAAGAGGTGGCAGATTTTGCAAGGATCCAGTAGGCTGGGATGGGGAAAACATCAGGATCAAAGGCAGCTGGTTGGAGAGAAGCTCCAAAACAGCTCCAAAACAAAGCTTTGCCTTTGCAGCTCAGCCACTGGCTGCCTGCCTGGGAAGTTACCAAATGACAAAGCATTTACCAGAATTGGGTTATGTGGATTACCAGAGGAGAAGCTGGTATTAGGTGTGCTGAGCACCTTGCTGAGGTCTCTCTTTTTAGGCATTGTGCCCCAGTTGAGTTCAAAGCTGGGATTGTGGCATGAGAGGCAAATGCTCAAGCTCTGTCCAAACAAGGTCCAGAGGTTTAGGTGCTCAGCATTTAGGTGCTTGCAAAAGATGTTGACCCCTGAGGCGCATGATAAATCTAAAGCTTCCTTTGAAAGTTAAGTGTTTAACATGAAGGTGCTGCTGTCCCATTGATCTACTGCCAATGTTTTAACAAGAGGATGCCACAAGTGTTTCCCTGTGAGAGTTTTGCACAGTGAAAGAGACCGTAAAATTACTTTTCTTGTGTTTGCACAAAGAGGGATTTGTCAGCCAGAGTGAAGAAGAGAGAGGGCAGCAGTGTGAAAAGTGAAGAAAGGAATGAAGTCTATGTGTATTAAAAATTGTAAATAAATGCAAACATGTATGCCTAGAAAATTAAGGTCTGTGTATGATTCAGAGAGAATTTATCCTAGAGAAGGGGAGAGTAAGCCCACAGCTCTTCTGCTCCAGGGATTTTTTTTTTTTTAATTATTGACAATTTATGCAATCTGGCTCTCTGCTAAATATAATTTTATTAGCATGCGAAGACACTTGGCAGCAGGAAAATAATGCTGGTGAGTTCACAGTTTTCAAGACAAAGCATTCTCTAAGAGAAAAGAAGGGAAAAGACTGATTTGGTTAGAAGATCCTTGCAGCTTCTGCCCAAAACCAGCCTCCACCTGCCATCTCCTGGGTGAAGGCTTAAATGGAGCAATATTCCCTACCCTCAGCTCCTTGTCTCTGCTTTCCAAAGGAGATGAGGCATATGCAGTCATGCTGTTCATCAGCTCTCCCATCACCCTCCCACAGTAACCCCTGAGAGAGGAGGAACATGGCTATGGAGGCTGGGGAGGGGACCAAGGCTCCTGCTGTCACCCACCCCCTGGGATGGGCAGAGTCGGGCAGGAGCAGTTTTTGGCTGCCCAGCATGTGCCAGTTTGCCAGGCAGGACGGGGCAGAGGAGCTGTGGCTGGCAGAGACAGGAGGACACAGCCCACGGAGCCGTGGGAATCGCCTTTCTTCCCAGGAGGAGGTGATGCAACAGCTCAGGAGAGCAAAGCCACACATCAGGCTCCAGCACGGCTAGATCAAAGCATTTTTCTGGGTCTTATGGAAGAAAGAATCCAGCCAAAGAATGGTGCTGAGTGTTATTTTATTGAGCAGAGACAGCAGAGGGAGGACAGGCTGCTCCCGTGTCCGCGGTCGAGGGCGGCTCAGCTCCTGCTGCTCGGTCCAGGCAGGACTCAGCATTTCCCCAGGTGCTTCAATCTTATTTTCCCTCCACTTCTCCTGTAAAAGGAGGGAGAGAGACTTAGACCAAGCAGCAAATGACAGACACAGCAGTGTGGGACAGAGCTCACTCACCCCAACAGGCCTGACTTGTGCCAGAGTATGTCCCTGGTAGCTCACAAGTAACACCCAGCTATTTTCTCCTCTCCTTGTTCTTCTCTGATTTGCCCTAGGATAAGGCAGCCTTGGCTGCACACTAAATGTAAGGATTGCTAAGGCAAAAACATTTTGCAAGCACATTCCATCCATCAGGGATGGCATCTCCTTTAAAAGGTGACAGAGCTTAGGAAAAGGAGAGACATCCTGTTCTTCCTCTGAGATCTTGTGTCTTGTTTCACAAAGTTCATTCAGACTTTTCAGGAATAACTTGGCATGGCTCAGCTCCCACATTCCTCCAGCACTTCTCAGTACCCAGGAGTGTGGGCAGTGAGAGCTGCAGCCTGTGGCACACAGTGGGAATTGTGCATCAATTTAGTGCTTGTGGAAGGTACAGGCAGGATGCATTTGCTTCCTAGGCCCTGTGCTGCCTCTCAGCATGGCAACCAGCAGCCTGCAACGCCCAGAAATGAATTAAAATTAACTTGTAGCACACAGCTCTGCTCCAAGGAGGAAACATTCCTCTTGGCACGGTTCAGAGGCTGGTCCATACAAGAGGGGCAGCCTGGATACAGGGCTTCCCCCCATGAAGATCACCACTGGACCCATGGAAATGAAGGCAAAGCCTGCTCTTCCAGGGCCCCCAGTGTCACTTACAGCACTGCCTTGCAGAAGGCACACTTGTTCCCATACGTGACGCCATCCGTGCCGCAGTGAGGGTTGGACTCCCTCGTGCAGTACACGCTTCTGTTTAGGAACTCCCTACAGATCTGCACAAGGAATAATAATTTTTAAAAAACCAAAACTTTCAGGACCTCTGTACTTTTTGTTTCACTTTCCAAATCGGACCCAAGGTCATTAATGTAAAGCTTTTTCTGACAAGTTCTGACACTGTCTCTTTTCTGACAGAAAAAGCCTTTTCACAAATTAACAGAAGCAGCATTTCAGGGGAATTTTGGCCCGTGTTTGAGGAAGGAAATTGTAGTCACCTGGGAGAAGTCTTGATCTCCCAACAATAGGAGTGGATTAGCCTAGGCATGCACGAGAAGAGTCAGCACTGATGCTCTGTCAGGCACTCTGAGCTGAGCTCCCTCCCTGCTGCATGACTTCAGGTGTCTTGCGAAACGCTGCACTCACTTTGGTGCTTGCTAAGCTCCTGCTTTCCCAGAGGAAGGAGGCAGAAACAATAGGGAAATCCCTGGGCAATTAAAAATTATGCCCAGGAAGTGTACAGGTATTTTGCCTCTCTACAAATCCCAGGGATGAACTAAATTTGGGGGAATAGGACACTCAATAATCCGTTTGCTTCATGAGAAGATTGTATAGTCAAAAGTCAAGTCAAAAGTGGTGCAGCACATAAACATTTGCTAAATCAACCATTTATTTCCCTGCTTTACCTGCTAATGTGGCCACACAATATTCCCCAGGTAGAAGTGAACTCCCCAGCACTGGGAATACTTGGAAGGACCCACCTGATCCCAGCAGACATTAAAAACTGTTTACCCAGCACCAAGGTTTTGGTTATAAAAAACATTTCTCCAAAGTGAAACGCCATGACTGGATGTGGCACTCAGTGCTATGGTTTAGTTGACAAAGTGGTGATCAGTCAAATCTTGGATTCGGTGGTCTTGGGGGTCTTTTCCACCAGTAATGATTCCATGGTTTTATTAAATGCAGATTCAGCAAGCAGAAACAGCAGCACTAACCTCTTCAATCTCTTGACCTGCTACATCTGGAACTAAAAGGGAAAAAAAAAAAAAAAAAAAGGGAAAAAAAAAAAAAAGGCAAATAAAAACCAGACAGATTTTACACGTCAGCATTACTTTCTGATAAAGCCTGAATTAAATTCACAAACAAGTTATGCAAACTACAGTGAAACATACTCCAGGTTTTTCCTACTCCGTCATCCCTCATGGGGGAAGAGGGGGCAGGAAATACATTATCTGAATTGCTTTTCAGTATTTTCCTATTTTGAAAAATGCTACTAAAATACCATGTAATCATTCATTCAGCTGCTAACTACACCTCAGACACATAACCCAATCTCCTGGAAGGCAGCCACTCCCGGGGAAGCAAGCTGCCATATCAGATGTGGAACCATGCTCCCAGAGATTTGAAACCCATGTTGGCTTTTAAGGCTTTTAGGCTCCTGCACCTCTGAACAATGCACGTGGCTGCTGCTGCTGACAGGAGGGGACCCTGGAGCAGGAGATCTCGTGGTTGGGTTCATGCTCAGCACAGCCCAGACACCCTCCCAGGACAGGCTCAGCCTGGTGAGATACACAGAGACGTCATGGGGTGACAGCAGAACAGGCAGCACCGGTCAGAACCAGCACCAAAATCCCCTGGAAGCACAGGCTCTGGGCTTGGAGCTCAGCAGTCCATGCTCTTTTTGTTTCTTCTTGGCAAAGCTGGCAGGCAGGAGTGTGGGCTGAGTCAGAGCTGTGAAATGGGGCGACCCTGTCATGTCTCTAAAGGGGAGCCTGACACTGCAGGGTGGGTTGATTGAAGAGCTGCAGATTCTGGGTCACAGCAGAGTGGGATGAATACCCAGCTTTTGGTGAGGCTGTACCTGCTGGTCAGCAGGGTCACTGCCAGCTGTGGTGCTGCTCAGGTGGCTCTGGGCAGGAGGGGAAGGACCTTGTCCTCCACTCATCCCTCTCCAGTGGATGAGGGACACCCAACCTGCAGTCAGCTCAACCCTCGTTCATCAAACCTTCCTTCTTCTTTTGCTATTTCTGTTGTCCTTTGGTGTTTTTTCCTGGTGCTGGCACATTTACTCTGTCCTCAGGTTTTGCTAGGCTCCTGTAATGTTGAAGGCACTGGTATGGCTATCTGCATATTATTTACAAAACAGCTCATTAAATATTTTTTATAAATATTACATGAAGCTACAGAAGAATTTGTGATGATGCCTCTTGACATCTGTTTATTTTACTGGAGATCACAGGGTTTGCTACTATTCTGCCCGGCCTTGGAAGGAAGAATCAGCCTTCTGATGGAACCCAGTCCCAATTAAGACTCAATTAGAGACAGATGAATATTTCATAATGAATAATGTGTACAAAGCAATTCACCTCTTCTCCATGCACAGCTTGCCATTTTCTCAAGTGATTTCTTTATTCAAATTATTCACAAAAAAACAAGTATAAATATTTCTTGTTCCACATATTCTTCAATAACTGTTGCCACAGACCTTGCAGAGCTGGGTCAGCTGGACTCAAGCAAGTGATAACACTGGCATGATCTATAGGTTCAAAAATCATCACTCAGCTTCCCCACATCATCACAGAGATGTGTAAATCTCCAGATAAATAGTTGCTGGATCCTTTTAATTTGCCCTCTTTGTTCTGACTCCTTGAGGACATTTGAATTTAATTTTCAAGCTTTTCTCTGCAACATCAACGAAAGCTGAAACTTTCATCTAATTACATCTCCACATCTCCAAGGAAAACACAAAATACCAAGATGCTTAGGATCAAAACAAGAGCAGATGACCTGGAGGTGAGTGAGTTTCTTCTCTAACTGGTTCAGCAAAACTCTCCAGTGAGCACTTGTACCAAAAATTCATAATTACACTCTGCTTTGGTATATTTGCTGAAGAAGTACTCAGAATTTGCTCACTCTGTCTCCCAGTGACACGTCCACTACATTATCCACTGCAGAGGCACACGAGAAGTGGAAAAATGTCATATGAGTGAGCAAGTCCTGCAGGTATTTTCTACTTGCTCAGTTTTATCTTCAAGCCTGTCAGCCAGTGATCAAGACTCTCCAAAATTTGTTGTCAGGAGATGTTCTGGTGTTTGATTTTCTTTTCTAGGCTAGGGAAAAGATCACTTACCCGTGAAGAAAGAGAGCAGCAGCAGGCTGAGAAGCACTAAGGCACCTGTAGCCCTCATGCTGCAGGAAGCTCTTTAGCCAAGCCAAGGTCGGAGCAGGAGGTGCTGTCTCAGTCCCAGAGCCCACAGTGCACACAGAGCTGCCTTTCTATGTATTTATGTGCCTGTCCACAGATGTCCTCATTCCCCACCTTAATTGTGAGAACTTCTCCACTTGGTTTCTAAAGCCATTATTGGTCCTGGCCAGTTTATGGTGCTTTAAGGAATGCTGCCCTGTCCACATCAAACCTAGAAAGGGATAATTATATGAGTGATAGACGTGCTTGTAACGTAATTATTTTTTTTTTTTTCTAAATAGTCACAGGATTCTCACAAGGGTGAATTTTCAAAGCAGTGATTCATCAGGGAAGCTGGTAATTTTCATTCTCTGGGCTCTCTCCGAATGCCAGCACCGAGGCTCTGAGTGCGGTGTGATGACACTCACCAGACGTTACGAAATAAATCACAGCATGAGAATGTGTTGTCTGTGAAACCAATTATACGTTGTTCCCTGGCTATTTTTGAGGATGGTTCTAAATTTGTGGAGTTGGGGTGGAGAAGCTCTGGGCTGTGACATGCTCTCCTCGCCGTGTGCACAGTCCCAGATAGAACTGCTGACTCTCCTCCCTGAACTATTTAAACCCGAGCTGTCAATGTTTTTCCAGTTTCTCACATTCACAAACATATGTTAGGGCTCTGCTCCCACCGCAAGTGGCAGTGATGGGAATTTGATGGGGAATTGGCAGATCCAAGCTCTATTTCCAGCTGAGGCTGTGCAAGGATTTGTGTTCACGCACACCAAACACTTCTCCAGATAAGAATAAGCCTAAATTTTAGTATGTTTTCCTGAGGAGGCAAGGCTTAGGAGACAAATATGTGTAGATATATCTAGGTTTCAGTTCCCCCAGTGAATTCTGAATACACAACTAGTTGCAGCCAGATTTCACACAGGAGTGGAAAAAAAAATTAAAAATAACGATCACATTTTTATACCTTTTCTCTAAGCAAGAGGAGGAAGAGGAAAGATGCTACAAGCATCCCCAGCCAGTTTCTGCAGGAGATCAATGCTATGGGTGCCCTACATCTGGGAAAGCACCTCAGTTTGCAGCTTGCCAGACATCTTAAAATCCACAGAGTGGCAGAGAAACCGTGAGTGACAGGCGAATCCTGGGCTGTCTATTAAGGGTGATCTCACGACGCAGCCTCTCGTGTAATTTAGTTATCAAACCCGTCAGCCGCAGCGCCGTTCCCAGCCACGCTCAGTTCTGCCGCTCGCAGCACTCCCTGTTTGCCTTTTCTGGTTTCAGACGTCACCGCTCGTGACCACAGCCTCGATGCCTCAGTCCCTTATCTGCCCAAATAATATTTTGGTTGCTGCAGCACAGCTGGGCTGGCTCCAGCCTCAGCAAACCAACCCCTTCCGGGCTGAGCAGAGGAAAAGGCTAAATTACCAGCCAGGTGATTATTGTTGCTGCCCGTTTCCACTTCTTTGTGACGCCTGAGGAGTGGCAAGGAAAGGCACTTTCCCAATGTGTTCTTCAGGAGCACTTGTGCCTCTTGCTCCCCTCAATCCTGCCCATGCTCTGGATGTCCTCTTGAGTTTGGTAACAAAACATCTGATTTAAAAGCAAACAAGGGCCCAGGCTGCACAGCTGGGCCACAGAGAGGGTTGGTCTGCTTCAAAGAAGAGGTGGCAGATTTTGCAAGGATCCAACAGGCTGGGATGGGGAAAACATCTGGATCAAAGGTGACTTGGTGGCAAAATGCTGTCCCTTTCAGGGACAGAAGAAAGGCACCTGGACCTCACTGTGCAGCCTAAGGGGTGGCTGGGCAGAGTCTTGCTGGTGTTAAGCTGAGTCCCTAACCTGTGCTGGCCACTTTTTAGACTTAAATGCTACAAACCTTTCCATTTTCTAATGTCCTTGCTAGAGGCTTATGAGACAGCCACATATTCACCATTTGGCCCCATTTTGCTGCGGGTGAACTCTTCTCTGGGCTTTTCCAAAGCCTTCTGAGCAGGTATCTAACTTCCTCAGGCACAAACTACCTCTGAAGGGGGGACTCACCATAAGACCTTGCCATTGAAGATAATTTCCTGCTATGGCCAGAACTTCACTGGTCTGTGGCCACTATGTGAACTTCTTGTCCAAAAAGGAATTATAAAACAATTCAACAAACCCATCCATTTTACTGTTCCTTTTACTCCTTTTACTGTTCCTTAACTGTTTTCTCAGACACACAAGCAGGTAACTAGTGAGGACTCTTGTGACTCTCCAATTTCTCTCTCTTTTCTTAGAAGCAGGCACAAAGGTATGATGTGATTTATACTACCTGTAGTAACACAAAAAAAATCCCCCAAAATAAGAATTTCCATTCTTCTTCCTGCTCTCTGTGCTGGTTCTAGGGAAGGACAAACCTCTTACATTCTGGTGGGGAGCACCTACAAAATCCTTGGTCAAGAAATTATCTACTTCAGGAAACAAGACCAAAAGAAGTGTCTTGAAACTTGCAGATTTTGTCCTAAATATCAGCCTTAGCAGCAGGTGTTCTTTTACATAACAAGAGAATGGGAGGTGGAGAAAGGATGAGGAAGGGAGTGTGTGAGCCATGGCACTTGGGACTTTTTTTGCTTGTGCTGTTTGCATATTAACTCCTTGACTCACCCAAAAAGATAGCAGATCATCACCAACAGTCATATATGTCATTTTTCCTGCAGTGCACGCTTCAGGTTCCCACAAAGATGTTATCTTCACACTTTTTTTCCCCAGATAAAAAACACATTTGAACTGCTAGCACATCTTCTTGCCCTTCTTTCCTGGAGTTAGAAAACCCAAGACCTTTTCCTGAAGGGTCCTCTGCCTCACCTCTGCCTCACATACCATCAGTACAGCTTTTTAGATCTGTCCTCCAAGAAGCTGAAAGCCTGAGCCCAGTCTAATTTCTCCTCAGGTTCTCATTAGGCTCATTACAACCTTGCATAGCTTGCTGCAATTTTCTGCTGATGGGCACAGTCTCAGTGGACACACCCTTCAAGGAAGCAGCAGTTCCTAATTTTCTTCCCTATGAGAGACCTCCTCCCTTTGCCATAAGCCTCCTTTTTATAAGGCACCACCTGACCTGCCCCTTGTCCAGGTGTGACCAGATAAAGCTGATCACACCCCCTTTCACACTTCCCCAGCACCATCCCACCAGGCCAAGGCCCCAGAAAGGAACAGCTCCTCCAAGGTCCAGCACTGTGACAAAGACAAATCCATTTACACTCTGCAAGACTTCAAAATTAAATTCAAAGATGTGCTATTTTATAGCATTTCTGATGGTTTCTACAGAGTGACATTCTCTCTTGAGGGCTTGGGCTGGTGTTTTGCTCTTTATTGTGGTTTATTTCACCACTTCTCCTGCCTGGCAGAAAAGTTCCCAAAAAGCCTGAAGACCATTACCCTGCCTAGAAAACAAAACCAAAATTAAAAACCATTCCATGGCAAAGATTGTGGCTGCATTTAATTTATTGATCAATCAAAGCAGAGACTGGTGTATAACATTTGAGGGAGCAAGGAAGAGCATGTTTGATTGAAGAATTTGGGAGGGAAATGTCGTGTTGAAGGGTCCAGCTCCAGCGCTTAGCATTCGCCTTGGTGCCTGACGAACAGACCTCCAAAGCTGCGTCTGAAGAGAGAGAGGGAGACCAAAATTAGAGACATGGATCTCATCTTTATAGCCTGACTTTACCCAAATAAGCCAAATGCCCTTGTGCTCTCCAAGTCATAGAGTACTTTGCTTAATGTTCCACCTCTTTTCAGATTCCTCAAGTTACATGCTTTCATACGTTGAAGAGATTTGGGACAAACCCCATAATTTTGGACACCTCCTACGGTCACACTTTCAATCACCCTGGCAGGGAGGCAGTCAGCAAGGCTATGAGCCTGCAAGCGGGGATCTGCTTTTAATTGCAAGGGGAGGAGGAGAAGACTCACTCAGGCTTAGGATCCGCGGCGCCTGGGGGGTGGCAGAGGAGTGAGCGTTGGGAGAGGAGCATGGGGTAGGGATGGGAGCTAACGGGAGCTCTGGGGCTTCCACCCCAGCTGCCACAGCTGCATGGGAGCTCCTCTGGTTCATGGTGAGCTCTGTACTTACGAGACGGCGTTGCAGAACTGGCACTTGTTCCCGTAAGTCCTGCCGTCGGAGCCGCAGATGGGGGTGTACTCGGAGGTGCAGACGAGGTTGCCGCCCTTCTGCTGGAAAGCGCTGCAGTCGATGTTGACAGTGTGCTAATGGAACAAAAAACAGGGTTTAACACTTCTGTTCCCCGTATTTTCCTACATAAGTGCTTTGTGTTTGTTTAGTATTTTGTGATGTGGCAAAGCATGAAAGCGCTTTTCAGGAGCAGGGCTTCTGCAGACTCAGAGAATGTGCTTGCCTGGAACAACCTGAAGTAGGGAGATGGTGGAGGCAAAAAAAAAATCTAATAAATATTACTATGAGTAGTTGAGTGACCATGCTGGTATTTCCAGGCTGGCTCTCCCACTGGCTGCTCTGGTTCAGCAGACAAGAAGTGGCAAGTGGACAGAAAGGGGGTGGTCACAAGCCCCAGTGCACTAAGTTCTCCCACCCAGGGAATCACTGCTACTAGTAGAGCTCCTGCATCAATGACACAGCGTCTCTTGCTCATCCAGTTTTGCAGTAAATGAAGGTCTCAGCACCTTCTGCCTGCTGTTCCCAGATCAGAGAGGGGACCAAATATCTCAGCCATGGATTAGGTTCCATACCTAATCTGGTATGGACCTGGCATAACTATTTTCCTCAAGTCCTATTTCCATGCCAAATACACCAGGACAGCAGAGGCATTTCTATTATTCAGCCATGAATTTGTGTTACAAAATGTAACAGCAGTTAAGAGTGCAGATTTCTGGCTTTACCTGGTAACACTCTCCGTAGTTCCTCAGGTCCACTTCCAGGCCGCTCCTGTGTGGGGAAAGCAAGTGGAGAATGAATGAGCACAGTGCAGCTGCTCCGTGAGTCAAACTGCCCCTTTATGCTCCAAATGCCAAAAA